ATTTTACTTAAAGCATTATGAAATTTTGGTTGAAAAATATGGAAACAACTTAAAATACTTCAAAATATTACGAAACACTAATATAAATATGTCGACACTTGAAAACATTAAAATTTTAATTCAATCATTGATTTATCTTATCTCATAAAAATGAAAATATTTCGACTGCTTCACTTATTTCGATTGTTTTGACACGAATTTTTTATCCTTACTAATAACAGCAAATTTGATTAGCAAGTTTAATGAATATCATTATTATTTTTGTTTTTGTCACATTACAGACATAGCGGTGGTGAGAGACAATTTTGTAAAAATAACAATTACACAATATGGATTAACACCGACAAGAAGTGTAAATTCTGAATTTAAAAACTCTATAAAGAGCTAATTATTTTTTACCCTCAAAGCTTTTTATCCAAGTTTGAAAAAACTATAATCTTTTTTTTTAAGGTAAATAAACGAATTTCATTCATAGAAATATTTAGTGTAACAAAAGCAAGGGGAAAAAAAAAACCCTTGGAGTACAATAACATAAAGCTGAAATCTAGTAAACTTTTTTTTTTTTTTAAGAGAGAGAGGAAGGACTTAAACCCTTGACCTCAAAAAGGTAAAATTTTCGTAAAATAAGAAGTACCATTAGACCTAAAAATCTGTTGGTTTAAATCTAACAAACTAGTTTGTAACACAGCACATTGGCTTTACCAGCATTTCTACCTTAAATTCAGTTTGGCACCCCTCACCGTTTCAAACACTGGTCATGTTCAATCTTTTCCAGTTTGCCGGCCATAAAATAACTTGAGGGCATGACCAATTCTTTTTTTCCTCAATTTTCATTTTCTCCCATGTTTCCTTTTCTTACCAAATAAATAAAAAAAATATATCATTAATCAAGACCAAGTTTGTATGGAATCCCATGATACTCGTTGTTCTTAAATCCCCCTCATGAGCAGAAAAGTCCTAGTTCCACCCCAAAATTTTTGAAAAAATATATATTGGGACATAATTTTGAAACATTGATAACGTTCGTTCAATATTGNCGCATTCAACACTACCTGCATTCAATAACCCAGATTTTAATAAGACCAAAAATAAATAAAGTTCCAAAATTTATATATTTATACGGATAAATACATCAACACATGGCATGGAAACAGCACTAGACCCCAGAAACATGCTAGATAGAAAAGTTTACATTTGATTGTGTTTTTTTTAGTCAAAACAAAGTCAAGACAGAAAAAGTTTACCCTGCTAACACCAGAATTATTAAGGTTCCCAGCAGTGCCCCTTTTTGGAACTGCGCAACGTAGAGAGAGAGAGAGAGAGAGAGAGAGAGAGAGAGAGATGACACAGTACACAGAAGTAAGAAGAAGATAATGAAATCTGGATAACTGTAGTTTTGTGTAAATTTTGAGAGAAAATGTTAGATTAGAATAGAAATATCCATAGATGGGTATCTTTTGACTTGAAATCATGGTTTTTTTGGGTGATTAAAGGTGGGCGGGAGTGGGTGGGGACTAAAAGGTCACGAGGCCAATGGTCCATTAGCACGGCCAACTACCACTCTCTTTTGCTCTTTGACTATCTGTTATCTGTTATAATAATACGTGAATTTAAAAAATAAATTTAAAAATTAAATTTGATAATCTTAACCATTAATTTTATTATGAGTCTCAGTATTTATTAAAAATTCACTACCTATTCAATGATTGAGATTCAAGTCTAATTTTTAAGTTTAGTTTTTAAATCCATCTAACATTACTCTATAAATATTATCAACTAGAGTCCAGCATGAAATATATTTTTAATTTATTTTTTTTTTCTTTTTCTTGTTATTATTTAAGAATGTAATTGGAGGAACACTTAATAGAATAATTATTATTTATTTTATATAAATAGAAAGATGTCTCACTCAAATTTAATGGCATGCCATTGGAAAAACTGTCTATAATTAATTCTTTGTCGGGAATGAGAATACCCGATTTTTTTTTNCCAAGTTTGTATGGAATCCCATGATACTCGTTGTTCTTAAATCCCCCTCATGAGCAGAAAAGTCCTAGTTCCACCCCAAAATTTTTGAAAAAATATATATTGGGACATAATTTTGAAACATTGATAACGTTCGTTCAATATTGGAGCTGATAATTTAATTGTTATAATCATTAAGAGTGTGTTTGGGATGACTTAAAAGAAAAAAACACTTATAGAGTTTTTGACTTATGATAAGCCTTTTTCTTAAAAAAAATAGTATTTGGAATAATTTCTCAAAAACACTTTTAAATAAGTAAAAATAATTTTAACACTTAAATAAGTTAATAAGTTGGAATAAAAAAAAATAACTTTTTCTTTTCATAAAACACTTTTTTTTTTATTTCACAATCCGCACCCCCTGCCTCCTCGACATCCCCAGACGACACCGATCACCGTCGACGATGACCACCGACGAAGCTCGAGNCGTACAACAGTGATTTTTTACTTATAATACCGGTTTCATTTCCATTTTCAACGATGATCAATATAGAGACAAAAAATAATAATATTATCAAGGAGTAGTTTTAAAGCCAACAGTCAACATATTAATGAGAAATTACACTGAAGTGATGATTCCCATGGAGTTTCCGAGTAACACTTGGCTTTCTTCTAGTTTGGCCTGAACTTATAGGTGCCAAAAATATTTGACCACCCTTTTAAGACATTGTTGAGAATTGTGGGTTCATAAGGAGCAATAAAGTGGTAAGAGGCCAATATCTCATGAAAAGTTGGAGGAGACGATAACGGTTTGTTAGTTGATAACATCAAAGAAGGTCACTGTCATTTCAATAAGTTAGAAAT